GATACTATCATTGAATCGAAACGCATGAGGTAGTTAACTGAGATCTAAAAGTAAATGATAATTGAAATTCATGCAGTTTTCATTGATAAAGTTTTGATAAATTCGATTTAAAATGAATATCTCCGGGGTCATGATGATCGATATATGATAGATTCGAAAAACGAAAATAGCTGATGGGTAAGTCCGATGTTCTACTCTGTATAAAAATTTCTAGAGTCAATCAGCATCACTTGTTTTATGCTATTTTAGATGCCATTCTTTAGTGAATCTCTTTATTGAATAATGGCTAACGAGGGAACATATTTGAGTGACCCCCTACAGAAGAGATCAGACGAATTGACAATTAACTGACCTAGCCCGTCTTGTAGAGGATTTGCGCTGATCATGGATATGTATATCTTAGCTGCCCTCGATGCGAGAGAGAACATGATTTATTTTGCCTAAGGTGGGTGCAAAATTTGAGAAAGCTTTGTTTTAAACTAATTATACATCGTTCGATAGAGCTCGTTGAGCTGATTAAGAAAATACATTTTCTAAAGTTTCAAAAAATTGTTTTCATGTCGAAAAATCGAATAGCTCGATATAGCGTTCCCTCTCGTATTGAAATCGCCACGAGGGCATCTAAGATATACATATTCGTGATCAGCGTAAAATTCTCTACAAGATAGGCTAGGTCTCGTTATTTATAGCGAGGTCACTGAAATATGTTCCCTTGTGGGTGGTCCTTATGGTGATTGACAATTGGTCGTTTATAAAAACTAATATCAAGCCTAAAAAGAAACGCAAAACAAAGTGCAGGTTGCAACACATTGAGTACAATTACCTGCTTACCGATTTCGTACGTGCCGGCTTCAGTACTATATTCAAGAGATGTAATGAGATCTTTTATATCTTGTGTTGTTTTTTGAACGTTACTTGGTTCACCTGTAATGTAACATGTTGGATTCCGATTGAGATCTGACAAGGTTAATGTGACATCGACTTCGTTTCATTGCATTATGTGGGCCAACATGGTTACGTTTTCAAAGATGACTTGAAATGTTATTTGTTTACCTAATTCTAATGTTGCTGTACCGCCTTGATTTCGGATATAATCAATGAGTTGATTTTTCTCTTGGTAACTCGCTACCAATATCAAGAACAAACGTCAAATCATGACAAATTGTCACCTTTACCCCACTCTCAGGCGTGGTTGTGCACTAAATTGTGCAATACGATCATATTTTACTTAATCTCTTTTCAACATTGTTTATTGTTATCACAAAATGGAAGAACCTTGTTCTCTTAAATAACAAGAGACAAGAATCTTGGAAGAAACACGACCAGGAAAGTGGATCAGTGTTGTTTAGTTATCTGACATGCATTTTGTGATACAGAACGAAAAAACAGAAAAGAATGGATGATGACTATATTGCACAACAGTGTTAATGACTCAGTCACATCAACATACAAGTTTATCAAATCGAGAGAAACTAATAGTCACATAAGAGCTGTTTATTCGATTGTCTGAGTAACGTGAAATTGTATATTTTTGAGGTTCGATCATTTTCGAGTTTGTTTTGTCCGAAAGGACAATCAAATAAATAGCGCTTATGTGGACTACTGACTTCGGTAAACTTGAAAGTTGATTTGACTGAGTCATTAACACTGAGTTGTGCAATAGTCTTTATATTTGTTCTTTCCTTTTTACATTCAATACCATAAAGTATATCACATCTGGCATGTACTAAACGAGTTTTTTCTCTCTATAAAGAACACAAAAAATGTTTTATATATTTGATTTTGAACGGTGAAAACATCAAATGATAAAATGAAGAATAACCAACATCGTTCTGAAGAACTTAACAGTAGTTAATGTAACGTCAAGTTATGTTTAAAAATAAAGGGGTGTTGATAATTCTTCATTTTAATAAACAATGTTGACAAGAGATTAAATAAAATATGAAGTAACCAGTGGTGGTTTTATTGTATTTTTTCACAAATATTTGAAATCTACTCGAAGTTTGAATTGAATCTACTCGATGTGGTATACTTTCACTTTCTTAGATTGTGAATAAAACCATGAAATCTTCATTATGCGGTTTGACGTTTGTTCTTGATATTAGTAGCGAGTTACGTTATAAAGAGAAAAATCAACTCATTAATTATATCCGAAATCATGGCGGTAATGTTTCCTATGCGTTAACAGCAAGTGTAAGTAATTTTTAATTAATTGTTGCGTATAAAACATCTTTTGATCCTTTTTTAGACAGATTATGTGTTAGTAAAAAGTAATGTTGCCAGTTACAAGACTCGTCGTGCAAAACATTTAGGAATACCATTGATAAGTCTTGACTACATTTACGAATGTCAAAAGAATTCGGACAAAATAATTGATCCAAATCGTTATTTAATTACATCGGCTGAAGATAAGGAAAGTTTTAAAAACGGCAAAATACCAGTTGACGGTAAGCTGAAAATACATGCGAATTGCGTGACCTTTACTACTACCTGTATTTGTATAGATCATGCTACAAGATCAATCAATGTTTCCAAATCAAAAATTGATATTAGCAAAGTAAAAGTATGGAATTATGATGATATTAATTTACCACAATTTGATGAATCTAATTCAGAAGTTGCAAAATGGGCTATATTTAAAGTAATCACATATTTTTGTAGTTGAATCAATGAAGTTTATCCTGTTATATTTCTAGGAAACTAACGTGAATTCATCTGTTTATTTTGTTTTGGAAATTCAAGTTATTCCAGATAGATATTATGAACCACTGACAAGCGATTATCGATTGCGATTTCGCTATGAAAAACAATCAGCCAGTGCCGATCAGGTAATTAATTTCTGATAGTTAAATATTGACTTGGAAGAGATATGAACGATTAGATCGAGTTTGTATTTCGATCAAGCGTCCTTTCTATAATTGGAGGGACGTGATCCAGGGGTATATCTCTCTTGCTCGTGTTTGCACCATCGGATTCACACTTTGTCACAAAAGTACAGTATGTATATTAATGCTCACACAAAGTCCTGTTTCGACTTCTTTCCATTTATATCGTAAACAATTTACATGAGAGTCGAATGTTTAGATAAACTGTTTGTTTTGTTTAAACATTTAGAATTCGAATCAAACAACCAGCACTCTCGTACAATATATGTTTACTGATGATGTTAGCGAACAACAACAACTATTTTCTACATATTTTAATAGAATTTCTACCATGCCTCGAATTACACGAATAAAAGATGTACTGCCCAGTAATATCGGCTCTAAAGCACTTTTACGCGTATGTATTCATTGATTAAACAGTCACATTATCATCCAAACAAAAAAAAAAACTAAAGTTGGTTTGGAGTGCTGAAAATAATATTAGTTGGAAAATTTATCGTAATCTTTTGAAAGTACCCCCCGCCGAAAAATAGCAAATCTTCTGGGTTATCGGGTGTGCTGAACTCAAAACCAACTTTACTTTTTTTTCCGATGATACATTAGATCTTTTCCTCGTATCTCATACAACGTATGAGGCTTTTAACAACGCAATGAATTTCGAAAAAGAATGTCTTTGATGGGACAGAATGCAGTAACGTGACGCGTTACATTGAAAAAATACCAGGATGTTGATATTATAGAGTCGTACTGCATTTTCACAAATAACATTCTTATCTTTTATAATGTTATAATGCTAGAAGCTTGATTATTACGTTAGTGTTAGTATCCATTCAGAGTACCGTTCAGAGATCAGCACGGGCAGGGCCAGAAAATTTTATAAAGTGATCGGGTCGGACTTGAATCCCAAAGTATCTTGGTCGGATCGGGCCGGACCGAACTCATAACTTTTAAGCACGCCTGGGTTTGTAATTTATGTGTATACTCAGCACCGAGAAAGAGTATTATCACTGTTCTGCGATATCTTAATGACTTCATTTAGCTAACGCCTTTAAAGGTTGAAAAAATGAAAACCAAGATATCATAACGAGATACATATTAGCTTGAGAAATACATTTACAACACTTCGCCAGCAAGAGCATTACAGATGCAAGAAAAAATCACGCCTGGGACCAGAAAATTTAAAAAAATGGTCGCATCGGGTTAGAAAAATTGTACGTTTGATCGGGCTGAGCCGGCCTTGGGCCAGAAACTTTCACCATCGGGTCAGGTCGGGCCAAAACTTTTCTGTCCGTGCGGATCCCTGATCAGCGGTATCAGAGAATTTATTAGAAAATAGTAACACCTTATAAGTTATAAGGTGTTACTATTTTCTAATGCATTAACCTACAGCATGCTGAAGGTCGATGTATTAGACTGTCATAACATTCAACATATTATAACGCGATAAAGTTATGGCATTACTACGTATTAACTAGGCAAGTGTTGAAAAGCCATATGGGAGAGTGGTCATAAATAGTCAATATGACTTCATGTTCTAAGTCTCAAATACGTTATAATGCATTAAAGTCCAACATATACGACTTTATCCAAATCCTATTGAATAATAGCGAGGTAAAAATAATAAAACGCATTATAATGCTAGTGGTTTACAGAGTTGTAATTGTAACATCTGAAATCTATGAGAAATAACTTTATAACAAGTTATAATACGTTAGGCTACGTCTATCGCGTTGTAATGATCTAAATATATAGTACGATAATGCAATATTTTCAAAACAAGATCTCTCTTATGCTGTTATAAGAACAAAGAGAAGATCTTATAAACTTTCACATGCATACGTTTTAATTTAAGGATAATTTCATTTTTTCCTTAGTTATTATGGAATCATAAGATGGATACACAATCAATCGACGATAACATATGTCAATTAATTGAATCAATATGGTTAGATTCGATGGGAGATTTACAGGAGATACTCAGTGTTACACCAGAATCGATTTCACTTAAAAATGTATGGTTAGCACGTTTTTCTTTCGTGATGAAACTATGTGTATTTTTAAACACTTAGATCATTGAGGCTGAATCACTCTTGTTGGAACAAAAACGTTTATTGGATGATAATCAAACATTATCATCTGACATCAGTGGGCGATTTTATATATTAATACCGCATAATTCGCTTTTTCAAATGAATTTAAATGATCGAAAAATATTGCGAGAAAAAATGGACCTTTGTCAGGTAACTTTTAGTTGGACATCTCGAATTATCAGTGACATTGTTTGATTATTTCAGGTATTACGCGATATGTTAACAGTAAATGAAATAACATGTTGGAATATGAAACCGTCAACTGAAGCTAAATATCGATCATTAAAATGTTATATCAATACAGTAAACATCAATTCTTTTGAATATAGAAAAATTAGTGAACTAATTCATTCATCAACAGATTCGTATGTATCAAATAATAAAGGAGGATTCCACTTGAGGTCAGTAATCAGCCCACTTCAACTTTTGCCTGAAAACAGTTTTCCGAGTAATATGTATTTTTATTCGATTTTAAGTAATTTTGTCTACTTTGGAAACTAAAATCCAGGTAATTTCACGTAAACAGGCAGTTTATAGCTCATCCCTCAAAGACCAGCTATAGGTTATGTAAAAAGTGTTTCTCTCAGGTTTATTTCACGTTGATGGCAAAGCAAATGTATCATTGGATAGCCCATAAAAGTCTCTACCGAATGTGAGTAAAATAACAGGTAACAAAACTGCTTAGAATGATCCTACATATACAGTATAGGGGTTACATAACTTTTGGCTCAATTTTCGGCCGGGACCTTCGACACAGTCCCAAAGTTCGACGACCTTTCGATCCGGGACCCAAAGTCCTGAATGCCTTTCGGCCGGAGTCCAAATTCCCCTAGTACTTTCGGCTCGGGCCCAAGTTTCCCCTCTAGTCTCTGTCGGAATAAAGCATAATACTCAGCAGGACGGCGTAGTGCTAAGCAGTATGGATTTAGATTACAGTACAGCTATAGTGTTCTGCTCATATGTATGTCGTAGTTGAAATGTTTCAGTTGAAGCTGTTGATTGTCCAATCAGTAGTTAGATTACTGAACAAACAACTCGGAAATCCGCAGTATCAGAGGTGTGCCATTTTTTAGTAACTCGGACTCGCACTCATACTCGTGGCTTCCTAATCATCAGTAGATAAGATTCATTATTCAAAAATGCGTTGATTTTCAACCGCACTATATACTTTATTGGACGATTGACTGATAGAAGAAGTCTGTTTAATGTCAGTGCACACGAATTCTGTAACGTACTGTTACTTTTCGGTCATATGTCAAAACTTTTCTTTACAAATTCTTTATGTTCATGGCCTTTCACATGTTAGCTGTATGTACAAGAAGGTATATCTTTTATACAGCTAGTTTGTCTTATCAACCAAAGATCAAATGTGTAGTGTCAACCATCATTGTTAATGTACTGACGAAGAATACGAAACCGGTCTACATTAATAGATCATATACTATTTTCATTTCGTATTGGTTAACACTACACATTTGATCTTTGGTTGATAAGACAAACTAGCTGTATAAAAGATATACCTTCTAGTATTCTTTTTCTTTTTCGCTATATCACGTTGTTTGTCACATTTCATAGTTGATTTCTATTCTTCTTTTATTCATTTTTTCTCTATATGTTCGAGTAGGGATCAAAGAAGACTGCTGCGCACTACGTTTTAATCTAAATGCTTACTGCTGAGCACCGCTCAGTGTGCCAACTGTTTATAGAAATACTGTTAGGGGCCGAAGGTTCGGAGAGAACTTGGACCATGGCCGAAAGTACGGCGAGAAGTTAGGTCGTGACCGAACGTCTTTCTCGTTTCAACATGACTTTGAATCGTGAACAGAAAGTCTGCGCCGAAATTCCAGTGTCCACAATGTAGTAGACAGTCCTCGCTTGTGTGTTCCCTTTTCCTCTAAAACGAGGAAACGAATATTTTTCTAGTATAGATCATTTCGAAGCTCATAAAATTTGTTACACGCCGGCAT